CAATCGTGTGCTCACCAAGTCACAGAGCAATATATCAGAGTTGTTTTGTTTTTCTTTTTGAAAGTGTAAATTGTGTATATATACTCACATTTATAAACTAAAGAGAGAAAACTCCTGGCAAAGTAAACTGAAGTTGTTATAAGCAGAAGAGGAGAGGATGAAATGGGAATTTCTGCTCAAATAGGCAGAAATTCTAGTTCCTTCAAATGAACTGTATCTACTCAAGCAGATGAATAATTTATTCACTATACAAATGAAGTGTATTACTCAAGTAAATGAGCATGTATTACTCAAGTAAAGAAGGAAAAAATTCAGACAGCAGAAAAGAAAGGACTATTTTAGTGAAATCCTTCAAAAATTCTTTCCTTCCATTAGCTTAGTCCCAATGGTTAAAATCTCCCAAATCCTGTTAACAGTGAAGTAAAACATTCAGCCTAATGCAAAATATAATTTCTCTAGATACTTACCTTTGCCATGCAAATAACTACCAATTAAATATTTATACTTGACCTTAACCTAAAAGGATCTCATATAGAAATGGCTAGAATTACTTTGCAATTTTAGATTTCTAAGATTCTATTAAAATGAGTGAACTAAAAATAATGATTGTACATTAGCACTCAGCTTACACATGAATTATTAAAAATATGCCTAGTGAAGCCCTGACCAGTAGGGCTCAGTTGGTTGGGTGTCATCCCATAGAGCAGAAGATCATGGGTTCAATTCCCGGTCAGGGCACACACCCAGGTTGCAGGTTCGGTCCCCACTGAGGACACGTATGAGAAGGCAACCAACTGATATATCTCTTTCTCTCTCCTTCCCCTCTCTCCCTCCCTCCCACTCAAAAACAGCAATGAAAAAAATGCCCTCCATGTAGGATAAAGAAGAGACAGAAACAGCACGCTGTGTTACACTGGCAGCAGCCTCATACACCCCCTGCTCACCCCTCTCTTGATTACGTCACTTTGTCTTGTGCTGGATTTAATCTCACGTTGCTTTGTCCAGAGATGTGCTACACAGGCCTGTAGCCTAGGAGCCACAGGCTATACCATACAGCCTCGGTGCATGGTAGGCTATCCCACCTAGTTTTGTAAAGTCAGACACATTTGCCAGAATGTGTCCCAGTAGTTAAGGAGGGCATTACTGTAAATGCTCATAACCGTGAAGCACTCTAAGCATAAAACTACATTTTCTAGAATAAGATCAACCAATTTGTGATCTCAGGGCTGCTAGAGGTTCTTCAGCATTTTGGGCCTGGTCCCCCAACAAATGGAGTGGAGTGAGGAGCAAAGGTCAACATACCCCACATTCCTTTTTAAAAAGAGAGAAACCACCAAGATTTTGCATTCTAGTGAAAGCTTTGTCATTTCTGTCTTCAGTCTGGATGGAACTCTGACTGAGCCTCTATTGAGAAAACCTGCTGATTCTGAGCTCCCCTCACAATCAGATCTGTCACAGAGAAAATGCCCAAATCTACAACAGCAGCTACCAATAGCACTCCGTACTGTGCTACTATTTCATGTGAACAACAAACAGTTCATGTATCAAGCATACATTCAGAAGTTAAAAATTAAAGACAACTTATCTAATGGACTGTTGTCTTTTCCATCTGCCTACTGTGTGCTAGAGATGCAGCAATGAGTAAGACAGGCAAGGTCCCTGGCCTCACAAAGCTCGAGCTCCAGAGGCTGAGACAGACAACACTCAAATATGCACACAAACCCACAGAGCATCAGCGCTCTGAGGAGAAACAAAGCAAGGTGATGCAGAATGGAGCATCTTTAGGACAGGTGGTCAGGGAGGCGATTCTAAAATAACATTTCTACTGCAGGAGATGCTGAGAGAGAAGCAATCATCCACAACTTGGGAGCTGAGGCTGGAGGGACCAGCCCAATGTGCGTTCATGAGGGACAAAACACCGCACCAATGGAGGCCGGGCCTCAAGCAACGGGCAGAGCTGGCTGAGCTGTGTGCTTGAGTACGACGATGTGATGAGATCAGAAGGGCCAGCCTCAGATCTTGCTCTAGGCATGACTAGGCCCTGGAGGGTTTCAAGAAGGGGCTGATTTGATGTTACTTCTTCACCAAAAATGATACCTAACAGTGAGTCACGGCCACCACCACTACAAGAAAGTAGAAGCTGGCTTCTTATAAAAGAGCAGAATGATGAAAGGGACATCAAGGAACCTGGGGGCTGATGGCCATGCTGTGTGTTCTGACTGGAGCCGTCATTACACTGTGAGTTTATCCAAATCCATAGAACATTACACCTAGGAAAGGTAATTTTACTTTCCATAAATTACACCTCAAACAAACTAAACACTATCAGAAAACCAAACTGGAAACAAAATGTGATCTCTGTCATACGTGACCTCCTAAACTTTTAATGAAGGTGTTTCTTTCAGTATGTATGAAACAATAAATTTTTCTTTATTACTTACTTGTTTAAATAAGACATTTCAACAACACTCTGACTACAATGATCTGTTTTACAGTCTGTATCCATAGCGTTATCATGGGCAATAATATAGAGTATTTAAGATAATAGTATCACTAATTAAAAAACACAATTTCAAAGACAAATTCACATATAAAGCAGTTAACAGAAATTACTGATTATGGAGCCCCTAGATACATAAACCTTGCTCTCCAAGTTCATCATCCACCACTTAAGCCTTGCACTTGACCCCTCAGTAACATACCCTGCCATGCTTTGTGTTTTGTCCTTTTGCTTACTTTCCCTCTGCCTGGAATGCCATTTCCCTCTTGAATGTGAGGTTTAACGTGCTCACATTCAAGCAAAGCAAAGCCTCTCCCCCAGAAGCTTCCCCTGCACCCCAAGCCAGGCTAAGTGCTTCTCCTTAGGGGCCATCTGTTGCTGAGCCATTTTCTTCATGTACCTGTCCCTCTCCGGATTGGAAACCTTCTTGTGGAAAGACTCCATATTTCATATTGTTTTTATTCTCAGCATTTAACAGTGTCTGGTACAAAGAAGATGCTAGATAAGTGAAAAACTACAATTGCTTGCCAAGCACTGAACTAAGCTCTTTATATGTATTTCAGGTAAGAAAACAGATTCCTAAACTTAAGTACCTAGTCCAAAACTAAAATGAGGTTAAACCCAGCTCAGGTTAGGAAGCTCAGGCTCTTTCCCTTCCACTGTCCCAGTAATGTAAACAGTACTAAAGGTAAATGGTTGGGAGTTTTCTGGGAGGAGAAGAACATCATTAAAATCAGGTATAGTGGAGAAGAGTTCTTGAAAGGGGTGGAACCTGAACTTAAAAAAAAATGGGAGAGAAAGGGAAAAGGAGAAAATATTAATATAAGCAGAGATCCAGGACTAGACTTCAGTGGTTCATAAATAGTCTTTAATCTAGAATTAAGTGTCCCCTGTTAAAATATTTATCCCTCCCCTAAAATCCCTCAGCAGCTGGATCAGAATCTTAGCCATCTGTGTTTGACACTCCAGCACAGGGCCTTGCACATAGCAGGAGCAAAATGAAATTAGCTCAGCCTACCTAAAAGTTAAAAAAAGGCTACTTACCGTGTGCTCGTACACACACCGAGGTGGAAATTGCTCGCTTGCCAATTAGGCTAAACACTCTGGTAGTCAACATCCTGAAAGACAGAAGTGTACACCTTCTCTATGAATGACGGCAAATACCTGTTAGGAACAATTCTTCTTTTTGCCCCAGCGTTATCTTCAAAGTCAATGCAATTCTGTTGTGTTCTCCCCAGCATACACGATTCGTTCGTTCCTGACTCTGAATTCACAAAATAGCCTAGAATAAGGTTTTTCTGAGTAGTTAGCAAGTCTTTATGGAGATTCACTATAAAACCAAGTGCCATAATATAGACACACTTCAGACAATTAGTAGAAAATGGGCTTCTTTAAAAAACAAAGAGAAAAAAATTTAATGAGGAGACTGAAAAAGCTAGAAATGGTAAAGCACTGTGGCGCCATGAGGGACTCCACTGTTTTGAGGGAAAAGGCTCAAGGAATTGTGGAATGCGCTTTCAACTTAGTATTTAGGAAGGGCAAATCAGGGAAAAATACCACCCTGGTCCAATTCCAATCCCTGCAGACAACGGGTGACCTGGGTGACCCACGCCTCATCTGGGCCCTTCCTGATTCAGGCCCATCTCCCCTACCTACCACTCCTCTAAAATTGCACATCTGCGGGGACTGGTGACAACGAATAGGATCCCCAACACCTTCAGAAAACACCCCAACTGGGGCAGAATAAACAGAAACATGACGTCAGAGCTGAACGCTCCACCGTCTCTCGTCTTCTCCCCCAGCCTGGCCCGCTCGTGGGCGGCCGCTGGGCGCCTTCCCGGGGGATAAGCGGAGCGCCTCTACCCGAGCCCAGTCAAACCCTGGGAGGTCGCGTAGACGCGGTTGGGAAGGGTTAGAGCTCAGGCTGCAACACAGGCCTCAGAGCCGCTCCCGGAAGGTCAGCAGAACGACCTGCCCCTTTTGCCCGCGCCCGAGCCCCCGGCTAGCGGGCGCTCCAAGGTCAGAGCTCAAGCCTTGCCGGCGGGCAGGGCAAAACGGGAACAGCCGGGCCGGACGTTTCTGCGCCGCACATCGGCCGCGAATCTGCCGGCCCCGAGCCCGGAACCCCCACGGACCGGCCTCAATGTCAACGGGTCCGAAGGCCAAACGCCGCTTCCTGCTACTCCCAGGCCGCCGGGCCTCCGGCACTCAGGCCCAAGGGCCTCCAGCCCCCGACCCTCCCTGGCCTCCCAAGGCCGCAGGCTGGCCGCCGCTCGCCTCACCTGCCGCCGCCGCCGCCCAGCCGCAGCCCGCTGTGCCTGCCGCGACCGCCCTCTACACCCTGTCAGCTCGCGACCGGAAGAGAGAGAGGCCGCGCCGCGCAGCACCACGGGATCGCGGAGGACTCCACCTCGCGCCCCGCCGCGATGGAGGTCACTGGAGAGGAAGGAGGGGAGGGCCGCGAACGTCGTAAAACGCCGGGCTGGGCTGCTTTCCGGCGGGCGCTGAGGGACCGCTTTCCTGCGGCGCCCGGCGAGTTGCGAGAGGAGTGTGAGGCGCGCGTGTGGAGTTCCTCGAGCCGGAGTCGGTGTTGAAGGAACCAGTCCAAAGCAGAGGTGGGCCTGTGGGTGCCTCCTCCAAGTTGCGGGGCCGTACCAAGCAGCTTCCGCCTTGTCCCACTTCTCCGCTTAGGCGCCGCGCGGCCAGGCAGCGAGTCTAGGCCTCGGCCGGCGCCCGGGGCCTCCGGGGCCCTCCCGGGCTCAGCATGCCCGGGGTGAAGCTGACCACGCAGGCCTACTGCAAGATGGTGCTTCATGGAGCAAAGTACCCCCACTGCGCTGTCAATGGACTGCTGGTGGCCGAGAAGCAGAAGCCGCGCAAGGACCACCTGCCCCTGAGCGGCCCGGGCGCCCACCACACTCTCTTCGTGGACTGTATTCCACTGTTCCACGGCACCCTGGCCCTCGCCCCCATGCTGGAGGTGGCCCTTACCCTGGTAAGCGTGGGAACGGCGCCTGGCCGCCCCTCGGAGATTGGCTTGCGATCGGCTTCCACGCAGTCCTAGCTGGAAGCTGACAGGTGTCCGGCGGGAGCCTAGAACCCCCCCTCCGAGGTCGCCGGGACAGTGAACGGGATGACCCGCGAGAGCGCATGGATCTTTGCCCGGCACTTAGGGAGCGCCCCGCAGATTGGCAGCTCGTAATAGCAGCGGCCCAGGGACCCACCTTAACCATCATGGGTGTTTTTAAAGGCACTTTTAGGCGACGAATAATCCATTAACTGCCTCAAACCAGTAGCCTTTATAAAAACAAGCTACCGTTAACTGGGTAATGATCGGAAGGCGTTTACAATTGGGATTTTGAATTGCGGGAAGTTTTGATGCGTTGAAACCTAAATGCTGGAATTTGGTTCGTGAGCACCTTCACTGAGCCGGTTCCTTATCGGATGTGAGTGTAGGCGCTGTGGTCCTTTTGGTGGTGGCACTTCGGGATCCCAGATTTGGGACACATCTGGAGAGGTAGCGTTGACATCACAAGCACTGCTCTCCTTCCTTGAGTTGTGTGAATCATGTGTAAGGAGAATTTATCTGTTCCCATTAGTGACTTTTCTAGCACGCTGCAGTGATTTTAAAAGCTTAGGACTTTGTGAAATCAAAAAGCGGAAACAGTCGTGCCTTCTATCCACCACACTTTTATGTGTGTACTTGGCAGTGACTGCTTTATTGAAGCACAGTGGGGAAGACTTAGGTCACCAATAAGCTGGATGGTAATTGAATTCTAGGCAGTAGTTTTTGAGATAGTGATCAATTAAGGGGAAAAGACCACCTGTAAATTCCAGGGAGTTGTTAAAAACTTAGAAATAAACTAGCCTCAGACCTGCCTCAGCACCTGAGTTGAGGTATGGTGTGTAACTACAAACATTTAAGTATAAGCTATAACTAAAAACATTTAATTCATTTGAAAAGTAGTTAAGTTTGAGAAGGTGTAGGTAGGAGTCCTATTTTTATATGTCCCACTAAGTAAAATGAATCCATTTCATAATTGACCTGATTATGACATCCATGTAAATTCTTGGTATGCAGGAAGTACCTTTGGGCAAATAGTCCTTGTCCAAGGTTACTCGGCCCACGTTTCAGTGCCTGTTAAGTTGAGTCATTGTGTGAATTTCTTCATATCCTCTCTGGACAGGAGATAGATAAAAAGTAGGTGATATTTATAAAATCAACCGCTGTAGCTTCTGAAGAAATGTGCCATCAGTACCAAAACATCACTGGGGTGTCTTTCCAACCAACTGTCTTAATTATTCTGTTATCAAGGGAATTGCAGGCTGATTGGATGTGTGGTGCATTCACTTGCAGGGAACTAGACTTACCAGTAGCATTAATGCAGGATTATTTCTTTCTCCACTAGTGCCAGGCCTGTGATGGAGAGCTGTATCTGTGGATCAAACACAGTACCTGCTTAGCCGTTGAATGTGTACCAAGCAGACAAGCACAGTACCAAAGAATAAGTGTCCTATGTGGGGTTAAGCAGAAAATAGTGAGGGATCCATGAGAAAAGTCAGCTCACCCAGGCTTACAGAGTTAGGAAAGCCATGCTGCCCAGAGAAAGGGACATGCAAATACTGGCCCTGTGGGCCAGCGATAGTAATCCAGGGCATAGACAGAGAACATTCAAGGCAGAGGGACCAGCACGTGCAGAGACCAAGAGAAAACTGGGGGTGGAGGAAGAGCTAGAGTGTAAAGGGGCCAGGGATAGAGAAGTGAGCAGTGGACAGATGCCACTGTCGAGGACCTTGCAGATCACACAATGGAGTTTGTTTGGGCACTGTCGTGAGGACAAAGAAAAGCCACTGGAAGAGAGTTGCTTGGTCAGACTTGTGTCTTGGAATGATGGTTCTGGCCTGCAGCCAAGAGAATGTTAGAGACAGAAGTGCAAGCAGGATGAGAGGCAGAGGGGTGGCCTAAACTGAGAGCATTGTGAATGCAGAGAAGGATCAGGGAAGCCAGGAGGAAGAATCCACAGGACTTAGTGACTAATCAAATGTGGACATAGGGAAAAGGAAGCAAGATGGAATCCTCGGTTTCTGAGTTACGCATTGGGAGGACAGTGGTGCCTTTATTGAGGAAAAGTGAAGACAACCTAGTGTTGAAAGTTGAAATGCATCTGGAACTCAGAAAATGAATGGCCTGGAGATACAGATTGGGAACCACTAGCTTCTCAATGATCTTTGAAGCCATGAGAGCAGGACATATTGGCCAGAACTGTGTGGAATGAGGAGAGAGCCATGAGCAAAGCCTGAGGAACTATAGCTTTTTCAGAATGGGAGGAAGAGGAGGAGTCTGCAGGGTAACTGAGTGAGTAGCCAGAGGTAGGAGGAAAAGGAGTGTTGCTTTAAGTCCATATGCAATCCTGTCAGCAATACATACATAAAGACAAACTTGAACTGCACTTGGAATTGTAAAAATATTACTGATTCTTCTCATTCTTAAGTAAGCTTTACAAAGGTAACGAATTATGTTCCTATTGCAAGATAGGAGTGCAATACTTGAGAGAATTAAATACACTAACTAAAAACAACCGCATTTGAGTCACCTTTACCTGAATTTTCCCCATGGAGCAGGGCTGCTTCCCAAACCGCTTACCTGGGAAGGGAAGATGCCCAGAGGAGACCTTGGCTTGTAGATGGACCCACTGACACCAGCTAGTCGAGGGTAAAGGGCACTGCTGAGGCCCTGTTCTGATTTTTCTCACCCTGGGTCATCACAATCATTCCAGACTCTCAGCTTCCCCTTCATTGTTTGAGCCTCCCATCCAGCAAACGTAAGTCCAAACTAGAGCCTCTGCAATTACTTCTTTTCAGCAACTTTCTGAGTAAAGTTACAAAGGAAAATTTGCAGTCTGAGTCCATCCAAAAATTTTGTATTACAGTCATGGTATTTAAGTTTATATCATTCAGGTTTTGACTTAGCAACTTATAACCTGAAGGCAATGAAAGATTTCAGTGCAAGAAACCATAGTATATCAGTGTATCAGCTGTGGAAGATATGATTTTAATACAGCCCATAAGTCCATGAAACTGTGTAAATGAGGCCTTATTCTCATGGTTTTTTTTTTTTTTTCTATTTAGGGAGTTTCTTATTGTAATTATTTTTGACAAGTGGGAAAGGCAGACTTGATATGCAGCCCATCAAAGGGAAATGTTAGATTCCTTTGAAAGACTTTTTTTTTTAAGATTTTATTTATTTACTTCTTAGAGAGCAGGGAAGGGAGAAAGAGAGGAAGAGAAAGATCAGTGTGTGAGAGATACATCAATTGGTTGCCTTTCACATGCCCCCAACCAGGGAACCTGGCCTGCATCCCACACATGTGCCCTGACTGGGAATCGAACCTGTGACCTTTTGGTTCACAGACCAGCACTAAATCCACTGAGCCACACCAGCCAGAGCCCTTTGAAGGGCTTTTCATTATAATTTTCCATTTTTAAAAAATCCTTGCATTTCTGGGTGCTTTTTATTTATTTATTTATTTTTAAGTACTTATGCCTGTTATCTTACTTATCATTATAACCCTTTGACGTAGGTAGTGGCGGAATTATTTCTGATAGCAAAAACCAATTAGCATAAACCTGCTGTTTCTCTAAGCCTTTTATGTCCTTTCCCCTCTTTGATTTCCTAGTACAGTGGAACAGCTTTTGGTTACATTCTGCTCAGATGACTTTCTTATTTACCAGTCAGCCTAGTCATCATGATTTTGGTCCAGAGTTCTGTCTGCTGCCCCCCTGTGCACTTTCTCTGTGCTCATTTGCAGGGCTGCTCTCCTCCAGCCCATTCCTAAGCCCACTCTTCCCTTCTGTCCCTTGTTTATCTCCAGGACATTCATGTGCTAGCCTGGGGGAGAGAGAGATGGCTGCTCTGGGTCTTCCTTTCAGTTCCTCCCCTTGACTTTCTTCTCTGTTTCCATCCCATTTACCTCCAGAGCTCTTTTGTGGATCCAGCTCCCTTCCATTCCATAGAAAACAGCACCCCACTTGAGAAGGAGCTTTTCTTCTCAGTGAAATGAACAACCCCTCTGCTTTCAGCCTCCAAGGCCTGCTTATTGCCATAGACAACCTCAACTTGTGAGTGGCAAGCCCTCCTCAGGATGGCTCTCTTATCAGTTCCCTGCCCTGCCTGCATTATGGCTATTGTATAGTCACGTGAGGTGGGTAGTAGCGCTTTGAAAATTGCGAGGTGTCTAACTTATGCAATATTAGCAAGTTTGCTGAGAGAAGCTACTTTCTTTGTGCTGTGTCGCATTGGGAATGAATGGGTTAGGCCCAGCACTTTTTGTAGTTCTAGTGTCTGGACTGGAATGAGCCAAAAAACTCACTGAACATACAGGCTGGCAGCTTATCACAAAGTAAAAGTGTCCTTCTTTCTCTCTGAAAAGTAAAAGAAACTGCATGAATAAATGCAGATTTGGGACTCTTGTATGCAGTTTTACTAAGTTGACATCAGATGTCAGAGGGTTAGTATGAACTTTTGATTTTCATTTTGATTGTTCACAGAATGTGTGAGAGGAGTAGGGAATCATTACAGCAAGGCAAAGGGAAATGGGCTCAGTGAGAACAGGGGTCAGACAGCAGCTTCTCCAGTCTTCCGCCTGCCCTGCCCTGCCCTGCCCTGCCCTGCCCTGCCCTGCCCTGCCTGACTTGAGAGGAACGAGTTCCTGTTCCCGAACAAGCTACTGCTTAAACCCACTAGGATTTTTATCAGTGAGCTGTTGGGCTTAGTGGATGTTCTGAAGGTCGTGCCTGCCCCATTCCCACCCCAGCCCCATCCCCATTGGTCATCTTCCACACACTGACTTTCACTTTGTACCAGGTCACTCTCACCTGATAATATCTGGTACCATTCTCAAGGCTATCCCAAGAAAACTCTTCCCTTCTTATTAAAACGTCTGTGCCCTACCTCTGGGGGCTCTGATGCTGGCAGGAAGCCGGAGTCCATTCTGAATTCCTCACTTTCATGTTCTCTATTCCTCAATTGATAGCCAGCTGTGTCTATATCTGGACAGCTATGGGCAGGCTACGCATGCCCATCATAGGCCACCTTACAGTTAACTTGGTTATTCTTGTTTAAATCATTCATTCATAAGTTTCCAAAACCAAGCCAGAGCTTTGTGACCTGATTCACTTTTAGGGTATCCACTTCAGAGAGTTCTGCTAGAAGTTCAGGGTCATGCAAGACATTATTTTTATGCTGGAATTTGATTAGGCCTTTGAAATTTTTCATACAGGAATTTGCTCTTACCAGGTAAAGTGCAAGTGAGGATGTGTAGTGTGTTTGCTGAGAAATCCTATGCCCCTCCTTCAGCCCAGGAAAGGGATCTAGGAGCTGCTTGGACTGCTCACTGTTGTATCCTTATAGTAAATATAGCAGTGATCAGCCCAAAAAAATAGCCCCCCAAAATGTTCATTTCCTAATCCCTGGAACCCATGAATATGTTACCTTACATAGCAAAAGGGACTTGGCAGATGAGATTAAATTAAGGGTTTTGAGATGGGGAGATTATCCTGGATTACCTAATAGACCCAGTGTAAGGTCTTTGTAAGAGAGAAGCAGAGCCCTGACCGAGGTGGCTCAGTGGTTGGGACGTCGTCCTGCAAAGCAAAAGGTTACCAGTTCAGTTCCCCATCAGGGCATGTGCCTAGGTTGGAAACCAGGTCCCTGGTTGGGAGCGTGTGAGAGGCACCTAATCAATGTTCCATTCCTTCTCTTTGTCCTTCCCTTCCCCTGTCTCTGAAAATAAATAAATCTTTCTCTAAAAAAGAGAGAAGCAGAAGTTCACTCAGAGTTAAAGATGTGATGACAGAAGCAGAGGTCACAGTGATGCAGCCACTAGCTAAGGAATATGGGTGACCTCCAGATGCTGGAAAAGGCAAGGATAGGATTCTCCCCTAGAACTTCCAGAAGGAATCAGTCCTGCTGACCCATTGTAGACTTCTGACCTATAACACAATAAATTTGTGCCATGTTAAGCCACTAAGTTTGTATAACTTGTTACAAGGGCAGTAGGAAACTAAGATAGTAACCAAACTTGGGACACATCTCTAGTTCTGAGTCAGATATAAGGACAACCCATATACCAGAGGGCAGGGAGAGGAACGCCAAGTGGGCAGAGATGAGGGTCACCTTGAGTGAGGACACACTCTGGAGGCTGGTCTTTGATTACATACAAAGGCTGGGAGCACCACACTAAAGGGCAGACTAATCTCTGAGTGTAGTAAATGGGACCAAAGATCACATTTTAAAGCTAGGCTGTACCTCTTGGTACTACATGGAGGTAAGTTTAAAAATTAAAGAAATGGCTGCTATAAGCAGCAATAGAAAGTTTCTAGAACCTGTTCCTTTAAGAGGTGACAGAAACAAAATGTCAGTAATTTTGGAGTCATTTGCAGCAAAGTTACAGTGAAAGAGCCATTATAAATATTCTGGAGACATAGCCCTAATCTTTTGGGTGGATGACCAAAACATCTAATTGGTTCAACATCTAATTGGAGCCTTGGTTTTGACCCAATATGGTAATTTGTGAGCTCTTAGAAGGCCAGAATTATTCTAATCCTTATGAAAGCCAGGGAACCTTGAACTGTAACCATCTTCTAATGTCAGCTTTTAGTCATAAAGGAGACTGTCTGAGGTCCAAACCAGAATTCAAGACAAAACCATAAAGCTATATTAAACAAAAAGAGAAATACATTTTTAACCAGTTAATTCACTGTGAAAAAATCGAGGATCAATTTTTTCCCTCTTCTGCAGACTGAGAATAGAATTTATTGCAGTGTATTATTAAAACTCCATTATGGCAACACAGTTAAGATGACCTTTTGTTTTTAACAATGGCATTAGACCTGCAGGAAGCTGAATCTGATGAGAAAGGGGTGGCATTATAAAACGGACAGAAAAAAACTTCCAAAGTCAGCCACCGTGCTCCCATTTAAAGCATGTCACAGGAAGTTGAACGTGAGTGCGTGGGGGCATTCCTGTCTGTATTTGCCCACCTGTGTGTGTGCCTGTTTATTCTGCATCCCAGTGTGAAGGGCTTTTCATGGTATGTTGGCTAGAAATACTGAAGTGTAGTATAAAAGGGTTTATTTTCAAAAGAGGCTTAGATTCCCATCCGGGCTCTGCTGCGTGGCTCTTCAGACTTTGAACCTCTGAGCTTTAGTCTGCTTATCTGTGAAGGATTGATTTAAATGATCTTAAGTAAGTATTTTTCAAGCCCCAGAATGCCTTAGTTCTTCATATTATAAGAAGATGGGTAAACATGGTCTCCCTTTCCCCACCTCCCCTCAGCGCTGCACCTGTTTAATATGTCTCAACATTGGGGACTTCTGCAGGGACTTGGCAAGGAGGTCACTCCTCATGCCTAGCCCCACCCCTTCTGGCAATTACAGAGTCCTCATCTATGGGAAGACACACCCCCCCCCACAGTGAGGGTGAGGGGACCATGGAAAGTAAGTTGGTGTGACCTTTTTTCTGTGAACATCTATGTCATTATTGTAGCCCTTCTTCTGGGGAGAAGGATACAGGTTTATATGGTGTGTTGTCTCAGTATTTGGGAGGGAGGGGTCTCCTGTGTTTATTAAGACTTGATATTTAAGGGAAAATCATTTATCTTTCCAATTTTTGTTCCTCTTTCAGATTGATTCATGGTGCAAAGATAATAGCTATGTGATTGCTGGTTATTATCAAGCTAATGAACGAGTAAAGGATGCCAGGTATGTCTGTGCAGAAGCCCTGGTCTGAAAGGAGGGTCACGCGGCGCACAGAGACGTCTCTGGTGTGCCTTCTGACCTTCTGTGGGCTCGAGATGTGGAGTCTGAGAGAACAAAACCCTTCCCCACCCTCTGTGCTTGTTTATAGTATTTGAGGGGAACTGTGGGGTGGATAATTCCAAACAACAGAAAGTCTAAACATTTATATTAACTTTCGGATTCTGTTTTGTGTCTTCTTTATTTTGCTTAAAGAAAATTCATGCAATGAAAGCAATGGTCATGGGCCTCCAACTTCTGTCCCCACTGAGCTCATCTGCCTCGCTTCCCATTCCCAAACTACGAATGATGTAGGCCAGAGCATTAGGAGAAAATGCCACTCTCTTTTGGCTTAAATAAAACAACTTTTAGGTTTGGTGCTGTAAAGGGTCTGATACTATGATGAAAATGTGGTATGTGCTGCTTCCTTCATATTGGCTCCTGGTTCCTTTCTGATTAATGAGTAAAGCAGAGAGAACTCTGCTTTATTTCTGCCTAGGTCTCGGTCCCAACAGAAAAACAGACAACATGCTAAAGTTAGGATAATTTGAGGAGGGCTTAATAGGCAGATTATTTCCAAAGGTGTAGGAGGTATGTAAGAGACCTCATGAGAGAGCAGTGCAGTAACCTAAAGCTGGTGACGAAAGCCGGTAGATACATAAACTGCCAGCTACAGAAACAGCCACAGGGATGTAAAATACAGCAGAGGGGATGTACTCAGTACTTTTGTACATGTGGTGTCAGCTGGGTAGTTGACTTATGGGCTGATCACTTCATAAGTTACCTATACTTTTCAGACTATAAGATCCACCTTTTTTAACCACATTTTTTGCTTCAAAAAATTTTTCCGTTTTCCTCTAAAACCTAGGTGTGTCTTATGGTGCGGACCCCAAACGCACCTAGGTTTTAGAGGAGGAAAATGGGGGGGGGGGGATTTTGAGGCAAAAAAATGTGGTTTAAAAAAAAGTCTTATAGTCCAAAAAACATGGTGTATAAATGTCCAATTACTGTGTTATACACCTAAATCTAATATAATACTGTATGTCAATGGGAATAAAAAATACAGTTTTTGAAGAAAATAGAAGTCATCCTCAAGAGAAGCAAATTCCCTTTGGTGGAGGGACGTGGCCAGTAGCCAGCCTGATGTGACCTCACAAAGAGGCCGAGAGGAATCACACCCTGACCTCCCTCTGACCTTCCTCAGCCAGGAGCAGAAGGGAAGCCAGGACGGAGTGTGGGCGGTGTGTGATGGAAGGCACTGACACACTGGCCTCACACTGACTGACTCCGGGGTCCAGGTGTTAGGGGATTCAGTGAAGGACCTCAGACCTACACTGCTGGAATTCTGTCCACCTGGCCCAGCATAGGCAAGAGGTTGGACTCAGTCGCAGTTTTGGAAATAATCCAATAAGCTGGTAACCAAGTATTGCTATCGCTGATGAGACACAAAAGCACTTCAGGGATTAAAAACCCTGTTACCCTCGGAGGACTGGGTCCAGTAGGGACTCTGAGGGAGGCGGAGTAACAAGTGAAACACTGGGCTTGAAACAACCCCTGTTGAAGCCTCTGCTGGGACGACAGCACACAGGCGCTCTCTGAGCCCAGTTCCCTGGCTCTGCCTTGGGATTTCATCTACCCTCCCATGTGCTGGTGCTGTGTGCTGGGTTGGGAGTAAGCCTGGCATCCCTAACACTGCCCCTGGCCTGGGGCTTCCCTGGCGTTGCTCTGTCTAATCCTCACAAGGATGCTCAGGTAAAGAAACTCCAATCAGAGGTGGACCCTGCACAGAGGTCACACAGCTTGTGAGCTCAGGAGCTAGGACATGCCAACTTCCTTCTTCAGTACTGTTTACTTGTACCTAAAAATTTCTCCTCTCTTCAGCCAGACCTAGTGTGCTCTTTTAGAAATACCAGGTAATTAACAGTGTCTACAGCATAAGCTTTGGAGCAAGGTAGACTTGGTTTCAAATCCCAGGTGACTTACTGATTCACCTCCTTGGCCTCAGTGGTCCTATCTGTAAAATGGAGGTAGAAGTTTGTACCATAGAGTGGTCGTGAGGATAGAGTGAAGCAACAATCAGCATTTTAGCTTTGTGCTTGGTTCAGAGTAGGAGCTGGTACAGTTACTAGTCCTATGAATACTTTTTTCAGAGAAGAACCATTCATTGTTTTAACATTAAAAAAGAAATAGAAGGTGTTTATAACTATTTTACTCATTTCCTAAACTTGAGGATTTTGCATCCTTTCATTTTATCATCTCATAATTACTGGTGTTTTGCATCATAATTAGCATTTAGTTTTGGTAAATTTCAGTACCAGGCACTGTGCCCTGGCTTGAGGTAGATACTCAATAAAAAGCTTTTATTTTTTTTAAGACTTTATTTATTTTTAGAAAGAGGGAAAGGGAGGGAGAAAGAGAGGGAGAGAAACATCAATCCATTGCCTCTTGCATACCCCTAACTGGGGACCTGGCCCGCATCTCAGGCATCTGTCTTGACTGGGAATTGAACTGGCAGCCTTTCAGTTCACAGGCCAGCATTCAATCCACCAAGCCACACCAGCCAGGAATAAAAAGCTTTTATATACAAATTGTAAAAATGTGAGATCTCAGGAGTAAATGCATAGCTTTGTGCCGGTTGGGAAGAGGCTTAGCAAAGTGATCTCGACTCTTTGCAGGAACAGGGGTTGAAATGGCCTGGCAGAAAACAAAATACTGATTTTAATATCATAATGCAAGTTTTACATTAGGAATGAGGTAGGTCAGTATCTGAGACTAAGTGCAAAATACAGGAAAAGTAAACAAAATTGGCAGTTCTTTCAAATACTTTGGCAGTTATTAACTTTTTTCAAAAGAATAAATTTTAAATTTGAATTCTTGAGCATCTGAAATGGTAGGGGTTTTTTTTAAATTTGTAAACCTATCTTTATTGTATTTTTTCCATTACCATTTAGTTCCCTTATACCCCCCTCTGCACAGTAGTCCACACACTGTTGTCCATGTCCGTGAGTCCTTTTTCCTTTTTGCTCAATCCCTCCATCCCCTAACCTCCCCCCACGACTAGCTGTCATCTGCTCTCCATCTATGAATCTGCCCCCATTTTCCTTGTTAGTTCAGTTTGTTCATTAGATTCCACGTATGAGTGAAATCAGAGAAAGACAAGTATTTCTCTGACTGGCTTATTTCACTTAGCATAATGCTTTCCAGGTCCATCCATACTGTCACAAAGGGTAAATCTTTCTTCTTTCTTACAGCTGAGTAGAATTCCACCGTGTAAATGTCCCATGGTTGTTTTATCCACTCATCTACTGATGGACACTTAGACTGCTTCCATAGCTTGGCGATTGTGAATAACATTGCAATGAACATGGGGTGCTTATGTTCTTTCAATAGTAGCTCTTTTTTTTATTATTATTATTATTTTTTTTTAGACAGAGGGGAAGAGAGGGAGAGAACATCAGTGTGTGGTTGCTGCTCACACGCCCCCCCACCAGGGACCTGGCCTACAGCCCAGGCATGTGCCCTGACTGGGAATCAAACCAGCAGCCCTTTGGTTCTCAGGCCAGCTCTCAATCCACTGAACCACACCAGCCAGGGCATTGTTCTTATTTTTAATGAATGCTTCTTGATTCCTCTTCCCAATAAAAGTCATCTACTTCTATGATAATTATAAATGTTAGGATAATGGTTTTGTAAGTCTCTTCATGGCATATACTTACAAGTCCCTAGAGCACTTAGCAAATGCCAAATTCTTTTCCCTTTGCACCTGAGGTAGAAGTGAGTCAGGACCACTGAAGATGCAGAGCAATCAGGGTGTCTCTTTTCCACAGTTAGTGGATGAGTGTGCAGCCCTATACCTGCTCCTCTCCACATCCCATCTGAGCTGTGGGGACTTGGCACTTGCGTACAGTGCAGCACTGTGTTTACTTTGAGAGCTTTCGTGCCGGCCTCATAAACAGGAATTTCTGGGCCCCCTTTCTCTTTTAAACTTTTTTTTTCTTTTTTAATTTTTAGAGAGCAGAGGAAGGGAGGGAGAAAGAGAGAAACATCTATGTGTGAGAGAAATATGGACCAATTGCCTCTCACGTGCCCCCCAACTGGGGACCTGGTCCACAAGCCAGGCATGTGCCCCAACCTGGAATTGAACCAGCGACCCTTCACTTCGCAGGCCTAGTCTCAATCCACTGAGCCACACCAGCCAGGGCTTAAACTATTTTTTATTGTTTTAATTTTTCTTAACATAATACTTACAATCAACATATCACTATGAATTCTCAATTTTGAACATGGAAATAGAATAATTAGCCAAAATAATTTATTTTTATAAAACATTATTAATCTGCTTTTTCCAGTTCAGTCACAAGGGAAGGTTTGTAATTGTATAGTATGTTTCTTTAAATAAACTCAAAATAACTAATGTAGTTTTATGGTCATTAAAATATATGGCTCAGACCCTGCCTCAAAAAGCTGAGACTCAGCCCCAGCTGGTATGGCTCAATGGATTGAGTGCCGGCCTGCAAACCAAAGGGTTGCCGGTTCAATTCCCAGTCAGAGCTCGTGCCTGGGTTGCAAGTTCATGCAGTAGGGGACGCACAAGAAGCAACCACACATTGATGTTCTCTCCCTCTCTTACTCCCTCCCTTCCCCTTTTCTAAAAATAAATAAATAAAATCTTTTTAAAAAGCTGATAATAATTGTGCAGAGGAAGTAAGATGCCAAAAAAGACAACTGCATGCCGAATATTAAGTGTCAAAGCCTTTACAAGTAAAATAATGTTTTGAGAAGGGACAAATAGACCTCAACTGAGGTATCTTGGCAATACCTCCGCAAAAGGGTGGCATGTTCTAGGCATTAAAGATGGGAAGGAATTCAAGTAGAAATTGGTATAGAAGGGCATTCAAACAGGACAATATAAGTGAGGGAGCTTGATACATAGACAGTTCTACTAAATAAGTAACTAAGTAGTAATTTAATGAAATTAAAGACACAGAGCTTTGTTGCTGTGGATAGGAGTGGTAACTAGGTTCATGGTGAGAAAGACCTGGATTTGCCAGTCTGAAAAAGGTGGGCTGTTATCTTACAAGCACAGGCGAGCAGCAGGGTGTGTGTAGGTAAATGTTTTAGGAGAATTCATCTAAAGAGGGTTTACAGGATGTATCATATAAGAAGAGCCTAGAAATTGAGACCAGTTAGGAAGCAATTTTAGAAACCTCTTGGCTGTGGTGATAGCCTGAACAAAATGGATGACAGATTGAAGGAGGCAGAGGCAAGGGAAGAATCGACAGTGGCTGGTGAGTGAAGGAAAGGTGACTTCAATCAGAGAAATTAGAAATAGGCCAGCCCACCTGGACGTGGTGGATTCCAGCTGGGGGTCTTGGAAGGGTGGCGGGTGTTCGGTAGGTTTCGAGGGTGCTGGCCCATAGAGGCAAGGGGGAAGAACCCAATGCACGGTTGTGTAAGAAAACAGAGCAAGAGGGACATCATGACTTACTACAGAAGCTTAAGAAATGTGGTTAAAGGGAGGAGAGAGGTTACACAGTGGCTAGAGGAAATCTGTTACGTAATTTTTTTATCCTAAAAAGGAAAAGACTTATTCAAATTGGACAGCAGAGCTGTCAGATTTGACAGAAAAAATACATTATAAATAAGGCCCTGAGGAGGAGTTCAGAGTGAATGGGCCCGTGGGTGTCAGGATGCCTTTTCCTGAAATAGGATAGAAAGATGACTTTGTTCATGGGGGGTGGTAGCCAGGGAAGATGTCGGAGCTGGGAAGTTGTCATTTAAGTAGGAAGTTGTCATTTATCAAGGTTGGATAGGACTGGGATAGAGCCAGCAATTGAAGGGTGACAAGCATGGAAAAGATTTGAAATGGCTTAGGAATTTGGGGGGGAAAAATTTTTTTAAAAAGTGAAAGACTCAATTGCCAGCAGCTAAGACGTGGACAGAGTCACTTTGGGAGCTTGCAAATGGAAAAGACGGGCCAAGGAGGCCTCTAGCCTGGAGCTTGACACTAGCCTGGAGCATTCGGCAGCAGTTCATCTAAGTGCTTTGGATAGTGCTCTCCAGTGGGTTCCAGGAAGCCTTTCTGTTTCGAAGATGCTTTCACAGGATCCCCTTCACAAGGGCTTGCCGGAGGGATGAGATAGGACCCACTTTGCACTGTGCTCCCCATTGCGGTTACAGCATTCCCTGTGCCCAGTGCAAGTCATTGCAGGTGGACTGCTGGTCTTTTTATTGTTGCCTGTTTACTATGCTGTAGGTAGACAGTGTTGAGTGGCATTAACCAGTATGTGGTAAACTCACTGGTTCTTCTTTTGCAGTCCAAATCAGGTTGCAGAAAAGGTGGCCTCCAGAATTGCTGAGGGCTTCAGCGATACTGCTCTCATCATGGTAAGTATCTTTTAATTGCCCGTTGTGTTTTCTCTTTACAGGATGGCTACTGAGCATTTTCTTGCTAACACAGAGCTTTGCTGTGTAACCGGTTTTCGTTTCTGCAGATATTCAGACCACTGCCACCTTTTGCAGTCACAGCACACAGGTCTCCAAAAGGGGGGAGTCATTCCAGTTCAGTGGTTCTCAAAGAGGGGTCCCTACACTGGCAGTGTGAGCACCAGCTGGGAACTTGTTAGGGACTCAGGTAGATAGGTAGCTGACATACAAGAGGGGACCTCCCCCTCTCCACACCGCAAAAAATGGAATTATCTTGTGGAAGTGAATTGTTTTTGAAGACTCTTTCAATTCATTTGCCCATTTCATGATGGGAGATTTATCAGCACACCTGCCTACACTGTGTGCTGAGTGTTCAGCAGTTTTTGACCAAAAAAATGGCATGACCCCCATGCCCCATCCTCCTCTTCAAGGAGGCTCTCACACTCTGAGCATCTTTTTTTTGTTTGTTTGTTTCCCGGGATGAAAAAGTCCTCAAAGGGAAACATTTTGCCGATATGGAAGAGGTAAAACAAAAAATGGCAGAAGCACTAAAAAGCATCAAAATTGACAAGTTTAAAAACTGTTTTGAGTAGTGGAAAAAAGTCTCAATTGGTGTATTGCATCAAATGGAGAGTACTTTGAAGGTAACTGAAGTTTAAACATGTAAGAATAAATACACAATTTTTTAAAAATCAGTTCTGTTTTTTTTTGGGGGGGGTTTTAGTCCCCCCTCATAAAAGCCTGTTAAATAATCTCAATTCAGACAATTCTGCAGGGAGGGAAGATGCAGTGTTTGAAAGCTCCACTTTCGTGAACAAAACAAATGGCATTTACCCTGCATAACACACAGTTTACCGTAGTAGGCCACAGTGTGCACTTCGCACATCACATTTCCAGTGTCTGTACCCTCTTGGGCAAGGCTTCTGCTGTGGGCCACAAAGAGGTGCCTAACAACCTTTCTAGAAAGGTGCTGGCTCTTGACTTTTATTAGCTCTGTTCACAATTGTGTCCTTTGTCTTGTGTGCAGGTGGACAACACTAAGTTTACGATGGACTGTGTAGTACCCACGATCCATGTGTACGAACACCATGAAAACAAATGGCGGTGCAGAGACCCACACTAGTGAGTGCCATGTCCTCAGAACGACCTATGTGCAGGCTGTGCCGGGGCCTGCTGCGCATACCCAGGTCCCACGGAAAGCTGATCCCAGCTTCCTATGTTTTTCAGTTAGCCTGTTCTCCAGAGGCGTGTACAGCCCTCATACAGAAGTCATGCATGTTCCTGGGCCCCTGGGGAACTGAGGCCAGTAGGGCTTCAGCACCATAGAGAGAACCTGAGTATTACTCAGGGCCTTCCCAAACCCCAGGAGGGCACCTCTCCATAAGCCAAAGCCTCTTTCCAGGCATTTGGTTGGTTTATTTGTAATCACTCCAGAAGTGTCAGTCATCTACCTCCAGCTTTTTCAGCATTTCATCTGGAGGGTGTCTTATTTTATCCACATTTTGTATTGTTAATATATATCTTTATGCGTTTAAAATGTACGTGTTTGCTAGTATTCATTGTCTTCCTTTATACCACTCTGTGGGGCTGGTTTTCTGTGTACTCTGTTGAAAAGCCAAACCTTGTTTCATTAAGAGGTTGATCTCTCCTGTTTCACCTCATAGTGATTACTGTGAAGACTGGCCAGAGGCCCAGAGGATCTCAGCGTCACTCCTGGATAGCAGGTCCTATGAAACACTCGTCGACTTCGATAACCACCTAGACGACATCCGGAATGACTGGACGAATCCAGAGATCAACAAAGCTGTTCTGCATCTGTGTTAGGGAGGGATTTCAGTGACTAGCCTCTGGGCATTTCCACTAGGCTAAAGAAGAAAAGCTATTTTTAAATGTAAATAAAATATCTCATGGCCTGTGTGGAAAGCTGACAGTTTTCAGAAGTGGCGTGTGCCTTGAAAGAGGGCAGAATGTCCCAAAAGTCATCTTTTTAACGCAGAGTCTCCGGAAGAGGTACAGACTGCCCAGCCTGACCGTCCTGTGGAGTTCTTCCCAGCTGTATGTTGCCATAATCCTCCCTGTCAGAGCTGTTTCTGCTTGTCCAAAATCGTTGCTATTAAACAGTTTTAACTAATCTTTTATAATCTGGAAAGGATGCTTTTTAAGACTTATGAATTATCTTTGAAAAAGAAAAGCCCATATCTTATATCTGAATGAGAACGTGTGTGAGTTTTCGTCCTGTTTGAGTTAGTATGACCCAGTCCTGGGATTGGGCAGGCGCATAGTGTGCTGGTGCCCAGCCAACGCCTGAGCGCCTGCGTGTTGCTGTTCAGCGGTCAGGAGGCTGCAGCTCTGAACGCTGCTGCCCCGCATGGTGTGGAGAGCACCGCTGCAGCTCTGCACAGTGGGAATAAAGCCACTGTTGCCTGAGAAACCTTCAGCACTCAGGGTGAAAACAAACAGCATTGGGAATGGGAGTGCAGTGTAATGCTTCTCCATCAACCAGAAGGCTTGTGACCTGTGGAATCAAGGAAACCTGGAATAGTACTAAGATTATTTTTAAAAGGCAAGAATCAGACCTAACTCTAACTTGCATGATTATCTAAATAATTCTTATTCATTATTTGTTTTGTATTTGAAGTAACAGGAGCAAAACAAAACTTAGGACACCCCCTCCCCACCAAGTTTTACAGAGTTTGTCTGTAATGTTTATACATAGAACTTCCTGTGGCTAAACTTTTTAACCCAGTCATAGGAAGTTGTTGGGGAAATTTGATGCTACCATTGCATTTTTTATGTGAATTATTCTGTGCAGACTTCAAAGAATCCTATCTTTCCTGCTATCTGATGACATGAAGGAAATTTGTAACAGCTAGCATGATCTATTGAAAGGGTTTGTGACCCAGCATTCATTTTCTGTTGACAAGTAGGAAAATTTTTTCAGACATTGCCTATAGTAGATGTGCTTTATTTGACCCACCAGATTCTCTCTTCCCCTTTTTTCAAACACTTCTTACCCCTAATTTTGGAAGCTGGCATTACTTTGTGTGGGAGCACAAACCAAGGGGTGGTGGGTCAGGGGCACGCTTCGTCTGTCCCCGGTGCTCGCCTCGGGGCCCAGGACCTCAGGCAGCCTCGTTCCAGATGGGTTTGTGTTTGTTTCAAAAAGGAAAAGGAACCACCGCCAGTGTTTACCATAGAGCAGGCTGTGTTTTCCTGGGATTCAGATGAGTGTGCTACGTCCAGTTCAAGGTCAGAGCTATTGGAATCAAGGTGTGCCTAAAGCTAGTTGGGGAGGCATTTTAAAGACAGTCTAAAAACCACGGTGGTTCTCCTTCATTCTCACCTCTGGAACAGCTGCAGGGGGTTCTCATACCAGCTTCCCCGGAGCCTGTGCCATCTTCCAGTTTGGGCTATAGCCTAGATCCTGGTCCTCTCTTGGCTGAGCCAGGCTTAGATTTTCAGAAGGCATATTAAATCTTCGGAAGGAAAGAACACATTTGTGGAAAAAAACATTTGTAAGATACAGTACCTGCCTCGGTATCCTTGTAGAGATGGGAAAAGCCTCTGCCGAGCCCCCCGCTCCTGTGCTGGGCCCCCTCCCTCTGGTCAGTCTAAGCCTTGCTGTTGGCCCCTGCGCCTCCAGACCCTCCCAGGATAGAAGTGAGAGCCTATCAGACAGAGTACGAAATGTGTTCATACTCTGCCTTCATATAGGAGAGACTGAAAGGAGCAACACAGAGCACATTTGTACATCGAGGAAATCTTTGACGGTCACAGTGTTGTTCATCTGAAGGGCTTAGAGAGGAGAGAGGGCGTGTGTGTGGGGGGCGGATAACCCCGCGGAGCCATCTGTATGCTCAATATCAGTCTGGGGAAAATGTATCTCTCGCATGACATCCATCCATTCAGAGGTGAGTACAGTAGGACAAAAGTATTTTTCGGTTCTATCATGGTGGATATAAGAACTGAGGATACTAAACATGGAAAAGTAAGCAGTAACTTCATAAATAAAAAGCAACATGCTTGCTAAGGAGAAGTTGATTTTGCTGGTTCTGATGAAGTTAGGTTAATATAGAAAACAACTTAGAAACCTTGAGTAACTTAAATTTTCAAATTCATTTTTCTGGGATCTGCTGTTTGTCAGCCTGACCAGAGTAAAAAGTTCTTGTGTAATTAGCTTTGATTTAATAGCTTATTTTTCTGATTGATGTACTTGGAAAACCTGTTGTTCTTACACATAGTCATTCTCACCTCTCGTGTCCTACCTTTTTTGTTTGGCCTTCAAAAGAAAAATATTTGCCTCTAAAACTGCCCCTTTTGAGGATTATTGCCGTCTTAACACAGTGGTTGCTGTATGACATCACGGTAATGGAAAATAGCCATGGGCATTCATCTCTATGCCCTGTGGACATTTTTAGCAATTTCAGTGAGGAGAGCTGAATTTAAAAATAGACTTCCGCTCACTAATTGACATTTGTAAAGGCTCTCCATCAACTCGCTGTCTCTTAAGCACTGGATTTTTTCTTCAGTTCAATAGAAAGCCTGGCACAGATGGTGGTTTGTGCCCCCCACCCCCACCTCCGTGAGCTCTCCGGTGGGTGACAGGTTAGTCTGACTTCACTTCCACACACCTCAGAATCCAGAGGGTAAATGTGTTTGTTTCACAGTGTTGACGGTTACACCTTAAATTGCTTAAGATATTCTTGTGTGGGACGCAAAATCTTGAGTTTATTACTCAAGATTGAGTAATAAATCTCAAGAGATTGAGATTGAGTTTATTACTTCCTAGAAATAAATGACCATTCTAAGGAGCCTTTTCTTCCTTAAGGATTAACTTCTTGGGGTGGACATTTCCTCACTACAATCTGGAGGTTTTTCTTTAGTGTGTGAGATGTAGCCCACCTTTAGAACTGTCAAGAACTGTGTTCTGGTCTTTGCTGTTGGAATATGACAAGTGCCAGCAGAATATCCACTGGAACTGGACCGGAGGAAACTTTTGGCTTGAATTGTGTTGTGTTGTAAAGCAGAATAGCATCCTATATTTAGCGCCATCTGAAACATTCCAGATACCATCGATAAATCTGTAAATAATTGAATTTCAGAATGTTCATGAAGTTCTGTGGGCAAGAGTCCTGCCCCTGGCAGGGGACAGTTCTAAGCAGTTGGAGTGTCTGCCCCAAAACAGGAAACTCTGAGTGTGCCAGGGGCCCTGGGTGTGCCCCAGGCACTGAGGATTCACTAAAGCCTGTATTTCCTGCCCTCTGGGTCTCCTCGTTACTAAGGAAGAGCTGGTCATTTCTCAGGATTGGATGCTCTCAAAAAAGAGACCCTTCCTGCCCTGACCAGGTGGCTCAGTTAGCTGGAGCTTTGTCCTGCACACCAAGAAGTTTTCAGGTTTGATCCCAAGTCAGGGCAACTGATTGATATTTCTCTCCCTCTCTCTCTCTCTCTCTCTCTCTCTCTCTCTCTCTCTCTCACACACACACACACACACACACACACACACACACATCAATAAATATGTTCTTGGGTGAGAATTTTTTTTTATTTTATTTTTTAGAGAGGGGAAGGGAGGGAAAAAGAGAGGTAGAGAAACATTGATCAGTTACCTCTCATTTATATGCCCCCCAACTGAGGACCTGGCCTGAAACCCAAACATATGCCTCCAGTGGGAATCAAACCAGTGACCTTTCATTTTGAAATACTCAACCCACTGAGCCACAGCAGCCAGGGCATAATATATATTTTCACAGAGACTTTCTGTTGCCCCCAGCAGAACCTCGTTTTTTCCTTGATAATTCCAAATGCGGCAGTGGTGTGTACTATCAGCTAGTAGGAGAGGTGTGTGGTAGTGAGTAGTCAGTGCCAGGTGTGAACCCCAGCTTGGCCACTTTTTGGTTCTGTGGTTGCGAGCAAGTTACCCCTCCAGTCTTGTCTGAAGAGTGAGGGTGATGACCCCTGCTTGCAGTGATACCCTGAAGGCCGGAGGGAGGAATACCTGTGCTAGCACTTAGCAGAATGTGTTAGGGCCGCACTGAGAAAAATTCTTAATGTGTTAACAATTCTAGAACACACTCTGGGTCAGACTGATAAGTGCTTATTCACAGTAAACACTCAGTGACCATCTACTGAATGAATAAACGAGTGAATAAAGACATTGTTCTCCGAAGATAACCGCAGCTCACATGTCTGACTCCTTTACACTGCCTTCCCAGCCTGCGGTGGTGGAGAAGGAGTGAAGAAGCAGGGTGGAGTCGCTGTAGTCAAGCTGCTAAACTACTTAAGCAGGCTGAGGCAGAGAAAGCGAATGCTTCCTTTAACTAGCCTGGGAACCTAAAAAATCTTCTGAACACCGCAGTTGTGCCTGAAGATATAGATATATAGGTCCTTATAGATAACCCTCTGATTGCCCCTGAAGGACTTAGGGAAGAGTAGTTACAGTCTAGAACATAAATCATCTAGAGCAGGGTCCCCAACACACGCACCCGCGCCCACCAGCTATGGACTGACACTGCTCCGTGGCCTGTTAGGGTCCCAGCCATGTGGCAGGAGGTGAGCAGCGAAGCTTCACACACATTACCGCCTGAGCTCCGCCTCCTGTGACACCCCCACCCACCCCATCCGTGGCAAAACTGTCTTCCATGAAACGAGTCCCTGGTGCCAGAAAGGTTGGGGACCACCTTCCTGGAGGTGAGGTTGGAGCTGGAGGATCATTGTCTTGGACCAATCCAGAGGCTAGGAATGCAGGACTGTTCTGAAGAACATACATTTTACTGTAAGAACTCTCGGTTTTTCTTCTTCAGAGCACTCTGGGCATTGCCTAGCTATGTTTGTGGTTTGCACACCCTGAGAACCCTGAATAAACCTTTACCACTTGTTTCTAGCCGGTGCCTTCTGATGTTTATGCCCACGGTGGGAGGGCCGACACGAGTGTTGCTGCAGGTAATGAACGTTCTTCTGTGTGCTTTCTCGTGTACACACGTGCACAGTTCTCTGGTTGTATGGAGACGTGACCCTCTGGGCGGGCTGTTTGTTCAGTTTTTAGGATGTGCTGTCAGGGGAACACCCAACCCACAGTGTTTGAGAGCTCCAATTTCTCACGGCTTCCCCCAGCGCTTCGTTATCGGTCTT